AAACATTAACTTTAGTATTTAGCATCTCTAGTAAAAACATCAAATGCGGTTGCCCAGCAACAGTTTCGGTTGACAGTGGAGGGGTTGTCAAAAAAGAAAGAAGGCGGAAGACGAAGCTTCTTGGTGAACAAAAAGACGTAAGACGAAAATAAAAAGACGCAAGAGACGCATATGAAAAAGACATAAAGACGAGTGATTAGAGAACAAGTGGTTGTAAGTAGCTGTATTTGGCGTAAATAGATTTGCTATCGTTAAGAAGGCGTTTTAATACACCTAGACCTCGGAGAGGAAAACCTATATTTTGGGGGCCCAACCGGCATAAAAGCAAAAAACCCGTAACTCAAGACGTGATTGAACTAGCAGTGTTTGTGAAAGGCCAGTCAACAAGACAGCATAAGAACATTGAAGTCAGTCCAGCAAATAATCAAATAATCTGCGATGTGTTGTGAAACCACCTGAACCTGCCGGTCAACTTCAGCCGCCATTTGCCACCGTGACAACAAGGATAGTTGGACTCTCAAGGTAGGATCTGCAATTTTATTACATGCTTTGGGTTCTCACCCGTTTTTAACATTGGTTGCAAAAGAGGAAAGGACAATCCTTAGTAACTGTGAACTTTGGCAGTGATTATTCTAATTTTCAATATTAATTGCCGTTCAACTTTCATGCGTAGTTGCAAGATAAAATATTATTACTGATTTGATATTTTGTTATCATTGTTTTCAGTTGTACTTTGTCAAACGTGGTGGAAAAATTGTGATGAATTTCAAATAGATTACTACAGGGTGATTCAAAATTGGCGTCATTACTCTGGAGGTGTTGTCTGGCGCTGTTATAGGAGTACAGAAAAAATAGTAAAAGAATTTAATTGTTATTAAAAACTTGCAAAAAACTATAACAGAAATACGGCAGCAATGTTTTTCAAGGTAATTTGCCTAATTAACATTGTGCAAATACCTGTTGCTTCGTAATTATTTAAAACTCCGGTAACGATGGAATTATGCAGACGGTATAGACATGACAGTAAGATAGACAAGGAAAACGGTAAATTCAATAAGATTTGTTGACGAAACGTCAACCTGTTCTCATAACCTCGAATATCGGTGTTTAAAAATAAACCATACAACACCAATCATTTGAAT